GTGGTTCCATTAAAGTGAATATGGTGATGCATTTTCTTTGGTCAGGTCAGACTGCAGCTTCATACCCATGCTGAAGTAATTGATTCATCGTGATTCTAGGGTGTGCGATATAGACAAAATTCAGATGTATTTTCTGGGATTTTGTTAAACGATAATTCGACAATATTTTCATCCTTCAAAAATGTTTTTGTAAAAGTCTAATATTAGTTACTTAAACTGAAGCATTAAAGTAAAAACTATATAAAAACACAGAAACCACCAGTGCATATATTACTGACATCAAGCAAACCATTTCATCTGTCAATAGCCGTGAGTTCTGTCATAGCTGTTTTAATTGCATTGAATCTTTCAGTTTGTTTTTGTCCCGGTACCTTGGCTGGTTTAGATCTGTCATGGACGGGTGACTCCTGAAGCTTTTCATATTCTTGATATTCTGTGCAGGGGTTAGTTTGTGGTCTTGAATGGCAACAGATTTTCGACATAGTTTGCAGATTAACGCCTTTTTAGGCAACATCCATCTTTCAAAGCCAAACCACCTCCTTGTGAGTGAGGCTGATGGACGTCTAGAGGTTCAATCTAACAACACAGATTGCGAGGCTGGTGGTGTCCTGCATGCATGACGCAGTGAATGCACGGACAAGGAGTTTTTGATAGCTTTTTGCAAAGTGAGTGACATAGTCTACTGGATAATGTTTGCTCACACATCATTAAAAAAAACAACAATTAAGATACTAACTCAGGCGAAACATATCGTACACCCCTACTACCATGTTGACCCACTGACGCAACCAGTGAGGTCCACAGAAGCACAGTAGGTTCAAACTTCGCTTTCAGGAGCCGTTCAGCGAAACCTGAGAGCATGTTTCCTAACAAATTCACACGTCTTACATAGTGCCATCAGCTCCAATTCAAAAACCAGCTCTCGATGCCCAACCCTACATATAGTGTCTGTAGCCTCGGTAAAAGAACATTTAATATAGACCTTGTTATGTCTTCTACACCATTAGACTCACCCTCGGAGCAATCAGAGCCAAAGCTGGTTAATGGATTGTTGTATTTTTCTGCTGTCTTTTGCTGTCTGGTGTGATGCTGGGAGAAACAGCAGGACTTCTGCAGTGTTTCCAGCTTAATGCTGATTATAGAGATTTAAAAAACAAACAAAGTGAATGTTCTGCATACTACAAAATCTGCATGAAAGATGTGGTTCAGTCCAATCCAATTTAGAAATGCAAGTTATTACAGGCTGATCCACTTCATACTGTTTTTGGTTCGTATTACACAATGCTTGTTGTTGAGTTTTATCATAATAGCTTTATCCTAATGCCACTCCCTCCTTGCATGTTACAGTACTATGCTCTTCAGATTCTGGAAACGGTTATCAAAACAAGATGGAAAATTCTTCCCAGGAATCAGTGTGAAGGTAAAACTTCATTTTGTGGTACAATTCACTAAATGTTTGAATTCTGTCAGTGTTAGTGCCATTTTAAGTGTTGTGACGTGCGGTTGCCAAGTTGAGGAGTGTTCCCCCACTAAGCATGCTGGTTTGTTTTCTGCTCGACTGGCTTGCACTGGCTGCTGCAAGCCAGACTGGTTTCTGCACTTTAGCAGTTGTTTTTAGAGAGAAAACAACCAAAACACCCTAGCACTGATTTTTAAAGGCATCTTTAAAGAAGTAGAGAAACTTTAGTTAAAGTTATTACTGGGTTTGTTTACATTGCTTAAACATGTTAAAGCCCCATGTGTAGAATTTTGTATGACCGTATCTTTCAAAGTATTCTGATGTCATATGTTTTTGTTTGTTGAAAAATATGACATTCCCAGTATTCATCGTCTTGTACCTGCAGGGGAATCAGAGACAGGTTGTTGGCATTGTTTAATCCCTGCCCCTATGTCTTTTTTTTATTTTTTATCTACTGCTGCGAGTTGGCTAAGTCAGAAATGTTCAAATCTTACACATAGAAGCTTTAAAGAGATGTCTGGAAAAATAGGATTCTAGATTTTCATGAACAATTATCATGGAAATTATGGGGAGTTGTTTACCAGTTAAATTCTACCTTTTTAAAGATATGATCATGGGTAGAACCATCAAAGGCTACCATGTATTGCTATCAGGACAGTAATTTGATATGGCTATAATACTTAATTTATATAATATTTTCCTGTGTTCGTATTTTTTAAAACTAAATTTATTTTTCTGTGTTAGCATCTAGACAGTTTTGATTTAGATTTTTCTAAGAATCTGAAAATCAGAGTGGGATGAAAATTGTTTTATAAATACTTTGGTTTGAGCAAAAAGCAATGATTATGAGCTACTTAATCGTGTGAAAATTAGTTGATTCTGCCTCCCTCCATTCTTCTATAATTTTGCTCAAAATTAATTTTTTTTTCATTGACCTAAGACTTCCCTACTTCTGACCGTAGATGCCTGAATTTTGTTCAAGTGGCAAACCCAGTGCAGGTCGACCGGCAAGTATGTCTTTTCCCCCTTGTGTCAGAGTATTACCTTGTTTTCGGCTCCGCTCACTACACTTCAGCACATAATTTTCAGATTTGAGTACAGATACAGTTTAGAAACAAATGCGAGGGAGCTGAAAACACATTTTTGAAGATGCTCTGCTCACATTGACTGTCTTGACTGTCTATAAAAACACCTGGGGAAATGTAACTTCCACTGAACTGACCAAAACGTTTGCCCTATAGAAGTTCAGTGGCAGCTGCAGCCCACATCCATGTGTTTACCAACTGGCTTTGCAAGAGTATGTCAATGGAGGACCACATTTTTTTTCAAAGTACAAATGTACTGGGATAGGATTGGCAGATTCAGCTAGTTATAAGCCAGCAGACTGTGTTAGGGATACTGAGTAACGTGCTCCAGGCAACTCGCCATGTCAGCATGTGTTTCGATTTACATACTGTATTGGTGCATGCTAACAGTGTTCTTGTGACATCTTTGTGTTTGCTAGGTATAAAAAAGTATGTTGTTGGTCTCATTATCAAGACTTCATCAGATGCATCAAATGTGGAGGTGAGTAAACTTTGAATTTAAATTCAACCTGAATAACATTTTTGGAATAATTCTATGGGTGCATAGTGTAGCACTTGTACTTAATATACCATGGAAGTTGACAAAACTATGCCAACGACAGAGCTGCATTTAACTAAAAATATTGTGATGAAATGTTTGGTTAATATTTAAGCTCTGTTCCAAAGATGGATCAACATAAAAAATACATTTTAGACAAACAACTCTTATTCTTCATAGTATCTGTTAATTTAAATGAATTGGACAAACCTTTTAAAGCTAACGACAGCGACTTACACCTTAAATGTTAATTTACCTCGTTCTGTTGGCATTTGGCACTGACAGCCACATTTGCAAATCAGAGTGAATTTTATTTGTTTGTTTCATTGGAGCAGCAGGTAAACTGTCAGTTCTCCTAGCAAATCTCAGGACAGCCATGAGTAATGCTGGTAACCATAGTGCTGTGTCATCCAGACCAAAGATGGTGATTTCAGCTGCTTTTGAACGTGTTTTCAGCCAACTTGACCACTCAAGCAACCAGTGGGGAGTTGTTAAGACTGTTTATAACCTACACTGACGGCAACGTTTTATGCCTTTCTTCTGGAGAACGCAGCATTTGGCTCTCTCCTGTACTAAATTTAAATGCTAAACTGTTGAGAATCAACTCCAATGAAAAAACTGTAACTGTGTTTAAAATGGATCACTTCTTTACATTTGTTGTTGCTAATTAGCAGCCCACTTGAAAACATCCGTCACCACATAAGACAGACCAAACAGAGTCTAATGTGATGACTAGTACTCTGCTCGTTAATGAAAACTGCCACAAAGACTACATAAATTGGTTGGTAGACTAAATGAATTTACCTTGAAAACTAAAGTTTAATCATAAATGAGCTATGCTGTTGAACGTTATGAGGCAAAAACATTTGCTTTTAATTAAAGGTTCGCTGTGGTTAAGGGTCAGGTCTGGTGTCGCAGTGCTGTAGCCTGCTAAATCAAACCACTGTCTATCTCTGACTGATACGCCACCACTTGGCTGTTAGTACTTGATAACTAACCTCATGCCGAGAAAGAAGCTTTCCAGACATGTTTCTGGTGTTTGCAACTCTGCAAACCTTACACATTAAACCCAAATGGACAAACATTTTCAAGATTATTTAGACTATTGAACCAACCAAGTTGAATAGGCTGTAAACAGTAATTGGATTTGAAGTGCGCTTTCATGTTCAGGTACAATGATTCTATAAATGGTCTGTTATCCAATGAGTTGCCAGTCTGGAATAATAATTTCATTCATCTTAAAAAGGCAGAATTTGCTACCCTGTGACAGAGTGTGTTATACAGTGCAATTTAATCTTAACTGAAGGCTGTCATTTTAGGATATACATTTTTATGTTTTTAAGTTTATTTTTAAATGTATTTAACTAGTATTTAACACATATGTCTTTACTCACTTATGATAAAATATACTGTTGTGGATCTGATTCTTATTCTAACATGAAATGTCAAAATTGGATGATTGATTTTTAATTACATTGTTTTTCTTTTAAAGTCACAACCCATAGTTATCTCTCTATTATATTTGTGACCTCTAACCATTCATTTAGATCTTTTTGTTGTATTACATTTGAAAATGTTTTGCCATGTCCCAAATGAAATGTTATGTATAACGTAATGAAATGACAGAAGTCTTCTGAAACAGAGACGGTATGACTTACACTCATCTATCCCTTGTTTATTTTTACTTTTTAGAAAGAAAAGGTGTACATTGGAAAGCTGAACATGATCCTTGTTCAGGTAAGCTTTCAATACTAATGACAAGTCAAAGAATCTTGAACCATTTTCTAAAGTCGTTTTTAGAACCATGTTTAAGGTCTTTGTAAAGCTACGATCCTCTGTGCTGCTTAACCTTTAGGCTACATAAAAGTGTGTGTGTGTGTGTGTGTGTGTGTGAAGATTCTCAGTCATCCAGGTCATAGTTATCCAACGAAGGTGTGTGTGTTTAAAAAAAATAAATCAATCAGAAACTTTGCTTGTACACAGGGCCTCAGCATGTGTGTTCTTACAAGCCTGACAGTGTTGTATGTGGTGTGTTTGTTTCATCTCGGGAAACTCTAGTAATTGAGACTTGATGAACAGCAAACTTTTAAAGGGAATATTTGGCGCCTTTATGTGGACGTCCCGTCAGTGTTGATAATAAATGTCATTAGTGAGCTGCGACGACAGTGCCAACGTGTACCAGAATGCATTGCATTGCAAGTGGGCTTCTGACGTTTTTGTTGTTGTTGTTTTCAAACGGCAACTAGCGCATCCCCTAGCTACCCTGAGGCGGAGACTAGAAATCCAACCTGAAGTAGCCTGTAGTTCTTCCATGCCTCGAACTACTTTAATGTCAAATGACGGCACAGGATACAGGAAGAACTGCTTGGCGAACTCAGTCAATATAGCATGTACTCAGGCATTTATTACCTAAATAAACTGCATTTACTATCGCTGATTGGACAACTACTTAAAAGGTGCCAAATTTTCCCTTTAATGCAAACGTATGTATTAGTTAGCACTGACCAATATGGCTTCAGGGCCCATTACACATGAATTGTGAGTTACAGTGTGGAGTTATTTTTTCTTTTCTTTTTTTGTATGGAAGCCCATGTGCAAGTTTTTTTCCCTAGATCAGTATTGTCTATAGGGCCATGATTATAACCCATCATTTTAGATACCCCAGCTGTTTGCTCATTGTGCTCTGTTGAAACACTGGAATGTTTTTGTAACCCCACAGCGTTGCATGTGAGTGAATTGTGGAGAGGCACAAAGAAGTGGCAGCAAAGAGTTTCAATAAAGTTATTCTCATTGACAGCGAGAGAGAGTACGCCGGAGCAGGAAACTCCATTATAGCCAGCTCCTTACAGCCTACTCTTTGCCTAGGACAAGTGGAAGCCACTGACGAGAACTCAGGCACTTATTGATACAGAATATAATATACAGAACCGTATCTGTCATCCTGCTGGAAACTGAAATTGTTTTGTTTTGTAAAATACAACATGGCTCACTGCCTGCTGCTGGGAAATCCTGAGTCAAAGTGGTCGGTTAGTTTCTCACATGCTAACTTGTCATTGTGGTTACTGAGTGTTTAGGCAGATGAGTAAAATGTAGGTGAGGTAGATTAATTATAGTAAACAGACAAAGCCCTCCATCTTAGGAGACGGGTAGTAAAACTATAAACTACAAGCACTCAAACAGAACTTGGTTCATTCAAACAGTAATTTAATGTTAAAGTCATTGCTTGGTGTACATTACAGATATATGGTTTTTCTGTAGCTACAGTGAAGGGTTCCACACAGAGCAAACCAGTGATTTTAGTATTTTCACCATATTCACTACCTCTAATTGTGACAGTGAATGACAGTTCAGCACTTCTGTATGTGAAACACAGCACTATACAATTCATATGAAAGAAGAGATGCACCCGTGCATACAATGTGGGTTTGGGCGTCTTACTGCTGCCTCAGTGCTCCCCTCCCCTTTTGTAGTGATACTTTTTAACCTGAAGATGTCACTCTTAATTAGTCTATCTGACTTCTAAAACTGTACTTAAGTTCCTTATTAAAATAGCATATTAATTCTACTTGAATGTCTCATGCAAAGTAGATGTAGTTGTAGTATGTTTCTAAATTGTCTCCGTGTCCTCATGATTGGAAAGAGGATCAATCGTGTTGACGAGTGAAAGTTGCAGGACAATCCGTGTATTTGTTTGTATGGAAACTAGGATAAACGATTTCTAGTCAATATTGATGTAGCAGCTGTTTAACCTGGTCAACAACAATGGCAACATAAGTACAGAACAGCATATTGTATAACATTTTATATAATAGTCTATATATTAGACTATTATATAAAATTATATATGTATATTATATAATAGTCTCAGTGATAATTGTACCCTACTACCCCCTGAATCCTGTAGAAGTGGGCTGTTCACTGCCCTGTGCTGTCCAGCACAGGACACTACTGTGAGTCATTGAGATGTATTGTATGTTAGAAAGGCCTTGAGTTAGACTATAGTGACGGATTGGTGTCCCATGTTCTGAATTTTACTCCTGAATGGAAAACAAATTGACGCCGTGTGTGTGTGTGTGTGTGTGTGTGTGTGTGTGTGTGTGTGTGAGATGTATATTCGCATGAGGGAGACAGAGACTGGCTCGCTGGCTACATGGGTGACTTTGCATTAATGCCAGTGAGAGTGAGTCACTGCCTGCGTCAGCTGAGCTAACATTGTTTTGGCCTTCAGGGACGGTAGAGCTCTAGATTCCACACACGTCCTGAGGATGCTGTGTTTAAAATGTTTGTGTACATGTATGTTGTATTTGTAGTAGTGTGGGGCTTGCTTGTATCATGTAACTTCATAAGCACATGTTGACAATTCTAATTGTTTTACTACTGTGTAATCATAGTAAAACAGTCTCCTGCAAAGTAAAAACCGGGGCACATGCTTGACTTGAGATTTAAAGGAGCAGTCGTTATTTTTAGCAGGAGTCACAGATTCAACCCCTCAATTTTTCATTTTCAGATACATGTTCTTCCCAGTGGAAAATGTCACTTTGTGTCTCTGTGTCTGTAGATCCTGAAGCAGGAGTGGCCCAAGCACTGGCCCACCTTCATCAGTGACATTGTGGGGGCAAGTCGTACCAGCGAAAGCCTTTGTCAAAACAACATGGTCATTCTCAAGCTGCTCAGTGAGGAGGTCTTTGACTTCTCCAGTGGCCAGATGACCCAGGTCAAGGCCAAGCACCTTAAAGACAGGTCAGCATGCTGCATCTGCATAATCCTCTGGAAGCACAGTCATGTTAATTGTAGCAGCTATCCAGGAATTTAGTTTTGATGGAATTGCTGGAAAAACCTACACTGGGGTCTGTGTATCTCTAAGCTTACAGAGTGAGTGTTTCAAAGTCAAGAGATAGATTCTGTGTGGGATTTCACATTACAGTCAAGATTCCTAAATATTTAACTTAGTTACAGCATTTAAAAGCATTTGTCTGTCACTGATCCTACAAAGTTTTGGCAAAATTAATGTCCATATTATTCCAGCACTTTAAGAGCATCATAAAATATGATCTCCGTGTGTTGGCATTGGAAAATATTGCAGCATTAATCCAGTGATGGCTGTGATCTGTATCGAACAGACTTCTGACAAACTGCCTTTCCTGTGCACTGGACGGCTGCCTCTTGTTGATGACACTTTTATTACCACTAAACTACAAGTATTGTGCAGTTCATTTGCAATTTTAATGTTGCCTTAATTACAGGCAGTTGTACACTCTTTTGGGCACGGTCTGCACATACAGAACAATGAAAGCCCATTAATATAAATCTAACTTTTTCTGTTTGGTGCACTGAATCTTTGATGTAAACAGTTTGTGGCAGGATGTCAAAAACTGATGAGCTTTATTTCCCTCATATCCATGCATAATTGTCACTTGTCAAGCACAATTGACTGTAGTCAATATATCATTACATCATCCTATTGGCCAGGTTTAGCAACAGTTTATTTAGCCATTTCCTTACTGATGTTCCCTGAGATGCTTATGGGGGTCAAAGTTGCTGATATTATGAAAGTCGCATGTTTCGCTGAAACATTCTCAAACCTGAATAAATCCACCAAACCACATAATTTGACTAATGGTTTTACACACTGTTGTGTTAGCCTCTTGTGTGTCACATAAGCTTTTATAGGTGCAGCTGTAAATTTCAAACTTCGTTTCATAAGTCAAGAAGACATTTTTCCATGCTTTGATATAGAAGTTTAGGATTTTTAGGAGTGGCTGGAGGGAGGCCTGAAGGGAGAGGGGTTTCGATTCTTTCAAAATCCAGCTGTCTCTTGCAGGTTTCTCCCACTTTACCTGGCTTAGTTTTAAACCTTTTATATGTGTCCATAATGTTTGTTCTTTTCTTTCAGCATGTGCAATGAATTCTCGCAGATATTCCAGCTTTGCCAGTTTGTTATGGTATGAAAATCCTCATCTCTTACTTTTTAGCATTGATGTACAATCTTTTATAATCAGTTACCAACCAGCGTTTGTCCTTCAGCTGTTTGTCATCTTATTGGTTGCGCCTTAGGAAAATTCCCAGAATGCCCCTCTGGTCCACGCCACTCTGGAGACCCTCCTACGTTTTCTCAACTGGATTCCTCTGGGATACATCTTTGAAACTAAACTGATCAGCACATTGGTGTATAAGGTGTGTACAACAGATGCACACAATGTCACGTAACAAGTTGATACACATCCAAGTCATTAACCAATATTGTCTTTTAACATCTCTTTCAACTGTTTTCAGTTCTTGAATGTGCCCATGTTTCGCAATGTGACGCTGAAGTGCCTCACAGAGATTGCTGGCGTGAGTGTCAGCCAGTATGAGGAACAGTTTGTCACACTCTTCACTCTGACCATGTGTCAACTCAAACAGGTGTGTTAAAATGTCAGAAAAGACAAAGCTCAGATCCCCATGCCTTGTTATAAAGATACTAAGTAGGGTTTCACTTCTGTTAGATGCTGCCTCTGAACACCAACATAAGACTGGCCTACTCCAACGGGAAAGATGATGAGCAGAACTTCATCCAGAACCTCAGTCTGTTCCTCTGTACTTTCCTTAAAGAGCACGGGCAACTCATTGAGAAGCGGCTCAACCTCAGAGAGACATTAATGGAGGTAAGAGAGAACACTGTCCACGGGGATATTTGCTTGTCTAAGCTGGCTACACAGGATAAAAGTTGTGACAGAAAAGGTGTCTCATGTAGGTAACTGCATCAATATTTAATTGTTCCCTTGGTCCTCTTTCAGGCCCTCCATTACATGCTTCTGGTGTCAGAAGTGGAGGAGACTGAGATCTTTAAAATTTGTCTGGAGTATTGGAACCACTTGGCTGCTGAGCTCTACAGAGAGAGTCCCTTCTCAACATCCACGTCCCCTCTGCTCTCCGGCAACCAGCACTTTGACGTGCCACCACGCAGGCAGCTCTATCTGCCTGTGCTCTCCAAGGTACCTCACACAGCCAATTACGTTTAACTTCATTGCTTAGTTAAACAATTAACACACCCATAGCCTTGCATTGTCCCTTGTTTCAACTTGATGACATCTCCACACAGACTTATGTAATATGATGCAATATGATGAATGAATGCATTGTTGGGATGTCAACAACATGGCCATAAGCTGAAAAACTCACCATCAAATATTTAGAATTTGCACTGTTGCAGTTGAATTTATTAATGCAACTGTTTCTTTTAAGACACATTTCTTACTGACGAGTTAGAGCCGGCACAGCAGTTTAGTGTTTAGAGGTGCAGAACTGTTTTAGTTGATGGAACCTGCAGAGTCTTAGTTTGCAGTCATACTAGAATCAGTTGGCACGGGTCAAGCAACAGGTGGCTGCTAAACTGCTGCCAAGAGTTTGTAGTTGCTGCAAATCAGCAGCTAGTAAAGCAAAACTACAACAGTGTGTGTGTGTGTGTGTGTGTGTGTGTGTGTGCGCGCGCATTAAACAAACACCTCATTGTATAGCATTTAAACATTTATGCCCACATGGGTTACACACTGTGCGCTTATGTGTATGCGCACACAAGTGTGAGAGCAGTGAGTGTGTACGCACTGACAGGTGTTTATCTCTTGTGACAGGTGCGTCTGCTGATGGTAAGTCGGATGGCCAAGCCGGAGGAGGTACTGGTGGTGGAGAATGACCAGGGAGAGGTGGTCAGAGAGTTCATGAAGGACACAGATTCCATCAACCTCTACAAGAACATGAGGGAAACCCTTGGTATGACTTAGTAAATCACTTTAATTATCCATAGTCTACATTTTCTTGGGTGTGTGTGTATATATATATATATATATATATATATATATATATATATATATATATATATATATATATATATATATATATATATATTATATATATATATTATAACTGACTCCCGGGTCATAAAATAATAGCCGCAAATCAGACAGATATATTGATCAGTGTCACTTACCACAATGATTACACTTCTTTCATGTTCACATTTTGTCCTTTTTAACATCTGCACAGAGGTGTGCTTTTGGCTTTAAGTATATCATACATTGTACACTCACGAATCTACTTTGTGCAGTGTACCTCACTCACCTGGACTATGCGGACACAGAACGCATAATGACAGAGAAGCTTCACAACCAGGTTAACGGTACTGAATGGTCCTGGAAGAACCTCAATACATTGTGCTGGGCCATCGGATCCATCAGCGGGGCTATGCACGAGGAGGACGAGAAGAGGTTCCTGGTCACTGTCATCAAGGTATAAAAAAGCACTGAACTTGTGGGAATAGCAGCTTAAAATGCTAACTTGAAGTTTATTATTCCCTCTCTGGTCAGATCATGTGATTGTTTTTTTTTTTTAAATTTTTTTATACCACTTTGATGTTAAAGGATTTTCCAAGCCATTTTATAGAACACTAAACACTGACGGCCGGTTATATGTCTGTAATTGTGAAAACCTGCTTGTCTCAGGATCTGCTGGGCCTATGCGAGCAAAAAAGAGGAAAGGACAACAAAGCCATCATAGCCTCCAACATCATGTATATTGTTGGCCAGTATCCACGCTTTCTCAGAGCCCACTGGAAGTTCCTCAAAACTGTGGTCAACAAGCTCTTTGAGTTCATGCATGGTGAGAGATGAGAGTATTTAAAATAAAATGTATAAAGATTTTATAAATATCATATTTTGATGTAACTTAATAACACCCTCCATGGCCCTTCTTCATCAGAGACCCATGATGGTGTCCAGGACATGGCCTGTGACACCTTCATCAAGATCGCCCAGAAGTGCCGGCGCCACTTTATCCAGGTGCAGGTGGGAGAAGTGATGCCCTTCATCGACGAGATCCTCAACAACATCAACACCATCATCTGTGACCTTCAGCCTCAGCAGGTGTGGATGGCCATTTTCATCATCTCTAGAGATTGATCACATCTGTGCAGAGAGACACCCAGTTATTACCAAACTTCTGCAAATAATTTCTCTTGTTGCTTTTGCAAGTTTGCATGCTGACCCAAGTTTTTTCTGTTTGTGTGCAGGTGCACACGTTCTATGAGGCAGTAGGTTATATGATTGGGGCCCAAACAGATCAGGCTGTTCAAGAACATCTGATAGAAAAATATATGCTGCTGCCCAATCAAGTGTGGGATAGCATCATCCAGCAGGCCACCAAGGTAAGAGACCAAAATACCTACCTACCTATAACCCCAATGATATACAGTTTACTGTCATAGAGGAGTAAAGACACTGTTTACATTTGAGAAGCTGAAATCAGAGTTTCTATCAGACTCAAAATGCTTGAGCGTTTATCAAAATAGTGGCTAATTAATTTAATAGTTGACAACTTATTGATTAATCGACTAAACGTTGCAGCTATAATACTACCATACTATAATTTAACCTAATATACCAGCCTATATGTCTATGACAGACAAAGAAGAACAGTGTGTTAATCTATGGTCTGCTCCATCCCTCCTCCTGCTGCTCCCTCAGAACGTGGACATTTTGAAGGACCCAGAGACTGTGAAACAGCTGGGCAGCATTCTGAAGACCAACGTCCGAGCCTGTAAGGCTGTGGGACACCCCTTTGTCATCCAGTTGGGACGGATTTATCTTGACATGCTCAACGTCTACAAGTGCCTCAGCGAGAACATCTCTGCCGCCATTCAGACAAATGGTAAGGGAGGTGTGTGCTTGTGATAATCTGTAGATTCACCTCATCGTTGTTCACACCCTGGTGTCACATCAGAGTCGTTAGGGTAACATGGCAGTTGTTACACACATATGATATGATGATAGTGTAGGTAGCTGACAGCCTAAAGAGATTGATAGACTGACGGTGAGGTTCCCTCAGCAGCACTGGAAGTAGTTTCTCCAGTTTGACATACATTGCCCCTCGTATAAATCATCAGTGTCTCTAGGATATGAACATAAATGTCTTCATAACCTATGTTAATAGTTGAACACTGCTGAGGCCTAACCTAAAGTGTTTGCTCGTCTGTGTTATGCCTTGCATTTGTGGAGGACTTGTTTGTGTTGTTAAACCTGTGTAAGGGATCAGAACACTGTGCAGGATGTGTGGTGTCATTGTTGTTTAGGCATGCAGTCCTTTGTGTGATTCCAGGTTTGAAAAATACTCAAATGCTTTCAATACGATGTGTTAGTACTTTATAAAGAGTTCGGAAATGAACCATCAGGCTACACTCACTAACACAAACTATCACTTTGGAATAGATTTTTATTATAACCTTCGCTTATGTACTTGTCACGCAGTAGCATTTTATTACTTTGTCATTCGGTAGTGGCATTTTGTTTGTAGGGCAGTAAGACTGCCCCCCCCCTTTTGCATGCTCCTGTTTTTGGTGACTCATCTCTGAGTCTTTCTGTGCTTAAATGGGAGGAGAGGTGCCGTATGAGGTCTGTCAGTAAAGATCAAGTATCAAGGATTTTTGCACTTGCATTGGCTGCTGCTTCCGAGCAGGGAAGAAGTGGCGATCCGTTCAGAAGGAATAAACCCTGTTCAAAAGCTTAACCAGACCTTTCTAAGGAGTTTGTGTTGGTCAGCTTGACTGTGATCCATCTTTTTCTAAGAACAAGACACAAAGTATAACATTGACGTGATGCAGTGCAGATGGCTATAAGTAATTTGACTGTGATAGCAGCCAGGCTTACCACACCTGTGCATCCTTACCTGTAGGGATGGGCGATACGGATAAAATCTTCTATTAAGTTATATGTAATGTCTAGAAACCATTTATAGGTAACGTAACAAGATGGAAATGTCTATTTTGGGATAATCCAGTGAATGAAATACCTGATGACAAATCCAAATACTTCATCACATTGATACAGAAATTCTGTAAATCTAATATTGCCATAAAGCAGTCTTGCTCAGTGATTTGCAACATTGCCTACAGTGACCAACCAGAGATACTGTATTAAAGGAAGAGCTGCAGCACCTCAGTCTCTATCATCTCACTGCTTTACCAAAAGTATTCTGGGGAGCAATGTAGCATTTACTAAACCAGAATGTACATCAAACAAGAGGAGACCCCGACGCACACCCCTGCAGACCCTTTCCTGCTCAACCAGTCAGCATTTATTTGATGCACAGGTCTGCAAATGTCCGCGCATCGTAGTCAAGTTTTGTTTGAGCTACACACTCAAAGCGCAAAGCGCTCTTCTCGGTGCCCTGTGCAAAATTTTCTTCACGCTGTACCTTCAGTATGTGTGTCCCCTTTGTGTTCCAGGTGAGATGGTGACAAAACAGCCCTTGATCCGGAGTATGAGAACAGTGAAACGAGAGACACTGAAACTGATCTCAGGCTGGGTCAGCCGATCAAATGACCCACAGATGGTGAGAAGTCACTCTGAAATCCTCAGAAATGAAAACCTAAAAATTTCTAAAGTTGTCTGGTGACCATAGGCCTGTTTTGGGTTGATGAACATTTACTCTTGCTATCTAAAAACTCTGTAACTTTTTGAATAAAGCGGTTTGTTATATACGATTTGCATTTCTATTTTGTGAATTTAATGTGGTCTTCAGCAAACAGAGTGATATATTTTTACTCTTGTGTCCTCAGGAGATAGTACACACTGGCACTCAATGAAACAGTTGACAGTAGAACAGAGGTAGAACTAATCCAGTTGGTATTTTTAGATCAAACACAAAGATTTTATTTCCTCTGCCCTCAGCTGTGTTGTTATCTGCATAACAATAAATATTCATAATGTGTCAGAGTTTATGCTAAAATGATAGCTGCACTGTTGTAATGTACCAGGAAGACTTAAATTTCTTGTCAGCACCTGTCTTCAAAGGTGGATGCTCCTGTTTTTTCCTCCTCTGTAGTTTGCGTGTTGATCAGTGCTGACCCTTCTGTTGTTGTATTCTAGGTAGGGGAAAACTTTGTTCCACCGCTGCTGGACGCCGTCCTCATCGACTACCAGCGCAATGTCCCCGCTGCCCGTGAGCCCGAGGTCCTCAGCACCATGGCAACCATCGTCAACAAGCTGGGGGGACACATCACCAGCGAGATACCACAGATCTTTGATGCCGTCTTCGAGTGCACCCTAAACATGATCAACAAGGTAAAGCACTATGATCAACTGGACGCAGTTTGTAATCTGGCAGTTAAGATTCTAAGTGGACTGATGATCAATCAAAAACAGGTGCACACAGTTTGGTTTACTGTACTGATTTGTGGGTATTTGTTATTCACCATGTGATACAGACTGTGGTCAGTGGTCTGTTTCTGATATGTGATAATGGACATTAATTAGCACTAATCTAATTTAATGGACATATGGCAGATGTTTCACTGCTTCAGTGAAAATCTAAACACTTTCAGTACAGTAGGCAACGAAGAACCTTTGTCATCAAGAAAATGTTTGAATTAACGGGTTTCAGTTGCGCATAGATAAGCTCTCTATATGTGGCCTTCACAGCAGTCTGTTCATCACAGTGCTGTATTGGACTGGGTCTGTTTGTGTGCTTTGACATGATGGGCATTGTTAGAACCAACATCTTATATCTATTTTACATATAGCTCATGCATATGTATGGTCTCAAAGTAAAGATCTGTTGCTCCATATAGTCTAATTTCATTGGTAGTTCAGTCATTCTAGATGAGAGGGTTTGTCTGTAGCTGTTTCCAGTCATGGCTTTCAATTTCCACAAAACCTGATCAGAGGATCTGTGATATTTGCAGTGTGTATGAACTGCCGGTGGAAAACTACAGCATAAAAAATAGGTTGCTGGGGAAATAATGTTGTTCAGGTATTCTCAACTGCATGTTGATGTTCATGAAACCTGCAGACAGCCTTTGGAGAAAGTTTCGTATGTACTATTTTTCATGTTTGAAGGAGGGGAAAAAAAGAGAGAACTGGGGGCCCCTGGCGCAGAAATGTGGTTTGGACCCCAGAGCTGTGCCTGCTTTCCCCAATCCAACCTTGAACCTAAAATATGTATCTGATTATGCTCAGTACAGTAAGACCATATCTATCTCAGACTGGTCATACTCCACTTGAAAGAAATGTATCACTAATTGATTTCAGTATATGATATTAATCTCGCCTTTAAGTTCAAGGGTGTAGGTTTGGTTTCAGAAGTAGAGGGGCGGCACAATGAAGTGTAAATAAATAACTGAATTAATGCATCTTAGCTTAGCACTGTGCTTTACTTATTACTTTTGTCTAATGTTCAGTTCTAGCATCTTTCTAGGACAAAATTGTTGTTGTTTTTAGACCTGAGTAGTAGTCACCTGAGAGACAAAACCCTGGGCACAGAAAGTACACTAAAAAGCACGACTCACAGTTTATTAAACTCATTTGAGCCCATGGTAATAACTGAAAGCAATTCAGATCTTGTCTCATCTGGACTGTAGAGGCTGCACAGTAAGAGCAACGAGCAAGAGAAGAAAATCAACCGGAAACAATAAACAAGGGGGACAACCCTCCCAAAGTGCCTATTCTGGCTTGTGAACATTGAGTTAATTGGACCCATATGGAGCAACTCAAATTCTATAGTAGGAGTAAACATATTGTGTTTTTCTGCTAGAACTTTGAGGAGTTTCCAGAACACAGGACCCACTTCTTCTACTTGCTCCAAGCTGTAAACTCTCACTGCTTCCCTGCATTCCTCGCCATACCCCCTGCCCAGTTCAAACTTGTGCTGGACTCTATCATCTGGGCCTTCAAACACACTATGAGGAATGTGGCTGATACTGGTAAGGCGCTAACACACACACACCATACTACATCTTCATATTGACCAAAAATGCCTAGAGCATGACTACTGAATTATGTAAAACAATCCGGGTGCTGTGTTTCCTCATGTCATGAGGACACTGGGACAATTGGGAATAATCTAAGCAAAAAACACTGACACTGCAGGTGCACTCTGATACTCTGGTATCTCAGCAATGTTCCGAAGCTCGGACTCATGTTTACCTTTCAGATTATGCTAAAATACACATAATGTACAGTGTAACTTTTGCGAGGAAGTGTTGAACTGAGCAATGTGTATGAAGCTGAAGTCGTATTTCTGTTTGTGCTCACCCAGGTCTGCAGATTCTGTACACGTTGCTGCAGAATGTGGCCCAGGAGGAAGCAGCCGCTCAGAGTTTCTATCAGACGTACTTCTGTGATATCCTACAACACATCTTCTCTGTGGTCACCGACACATCACATACCGCTGGTGAGTTTACACACGTGAGCTGTGGGGTCCCCAGCGGGAAAGAGAGATCACTTGATTAAAGATAAATAAAGTTTCTCTAGTAAAAAGGTGTGTGTGTGTGTGGTGTGCATGCTGCAGGCCTGACGATGCATGCGTCCATCCTGGCCTACATGTTCAACCTGGTGGAGGAGGGGAAGATCACTACAGTGCTAAACCCTGCCAGCCCCACCAACAACCAGGTGTTCATCCAGGAATACGTGGCCAACCTGCTCAAGACTGCTTTCCCTCACCTACAGGAGTGAGTATGCGCGCACATGAACACACACACAATGTCTGTTTTAGTAAAATCCACATTTATCATCCCTGCGTGCCTTTGTTTGTGTTAGTGCCCAGGTGAAGGTGTTTGTGACCGGGCTGTTCAGCTTAAACCAGGACATTCCTGCCTTCAAGGAGCACCTAAGGGACTTCCTCGTCCAGATAAAGGTGAGGTTGTCCGACTGCGCAGGTCATGTATGTTCTACTCAGTCACACAGCTTGAGTTACTATAGGTGTCAGGATTTGTTGTTGTTTTTCAGCCATTGTTTGGCATTAATACAGCCACATGGCTCCTATCTGGGGCAAAACAAGACACATGCACACAGATCAGTGGTTATGCTAAGTGTGAATTTAATGTAATGTATTTGAAAGTCCGTCCATGTGTATTTGTTTGCAGACAAGCTGTGAACTAAAACTAAACTGTTTGTTGTGTGTGCAGCGTGGGCTTTGTCTCTTGACACAGAGGTTATCAGGCACTACATAGTTAGCTGCTTAGCTGTTGTTTCCAGAAATAACATATTCCTGCATGGCCAGGTTGTCCTTCTAAGTATATAGGAGGTTTGTGGCTGCTATGCCAGCTTATTATTATTGCGAAACTGTGTATGATAGTGACGGTGATGGTGTAAAGTCACCACAGGACATGCTCAGTGTTCTCTGTTCTACTGACGGGTCCAATTTTCAGGCTAAATAGATTTTTGGTGGGTATTTTTTTAGACTATAATCTTGAAATAAAAGATGAAACTGAGCTTTTGAGAGTCCGGATCAGGGCTGAAACAATAAGTTAGTTAATCGATTACAGGATCAGCAAATAAAATTATTGTAAACAATTTAGCTAATCAGTTCATTCTGACCAGAAATTTGGACAGGTTTTTTACAGTTCTGACTGTTTTTGTTTGTTTTGTTTTTTTTGGACTAATCCATTAACTATAAAAAAGAATTGACAGATGAATTATAATGAAAATAATCATTAGTTGCCTCTGTCAGGGTCCTGCAGCAGGTTAAGTGGATGGATGGAGCTGACTGCAGTGTTTCTCTTGTTCTCTGCTGCTGTTCCAGGAGTTTGCAGGCGAGGACACCTCAGACCTGTTCCTGGAGGAGAGGGAGGCATCGCTTCGTCAGGCCCAGGAGGAGAAACACAAGATCCAGATGTCAGTGCCGGGCATCCTCAACCCTCACGAGATCCCCGAGGAGATGTGTGACTGAGCCGCAGCTCCACCGAACTGTACAGTACTCCAAACAAACAAATAAATAAACCCTAACCACAACAAAACCAGAGAGAGGCACTTGAGTGTGGTGGGAGGCCGCTCACCCTCTGCAGAGCAGGCCGTCCCATTGGATGTTTGTTGACCAAAACAATGCCAACAATATGTAAATGATTACCGCGTCACCCTGTGGCCCTTTTTACATAATCTGCGTTTTGTATGGAGACTTTTTGTGTAACATCTTTCCAGAACTGTTAATCTAAGCTTATGTTTTGTTGGTCTCTGGCCCATTTCAAGACCTGCATGATGATGTTGTAACAATTAGGACACCATAACCATCTTGTTTTTGTTCTGTTTACCCCACCCCTTCATGATGTCTTTTTTTCCCAAGGTCTTCCCTTTTTTTTATGTAAAAAAAATTACAGTCTGAGCAGGGTTTTTGTTTAAAAACAGCATATCTGTCAAGTCAGCATAGAGGCTTCTAGACCTGTGGTGTGACAGACAGCAAGTGGTCTTTTCGGGGAGAGCGCACCGCTTCTTTGGTGCCCCACAGCATTGTGGGAGAATGTGAATCTAACTGATACTGAATGAAGGTCGAGAGATGCTGCTTCATGCATCAGCATCTGTTGCTCATGAGTTGTGCTTCACCTAAAAAAAAAAATAAATGTTGCTGGCAGGAGGGTTTTTTTTTTTTTTTTTTTTTTTTTTTTTTTAGGGAAAGCAAAACCGAATATGTGCATATCATCCCAATTGTATAGCATCTTTAATACCATGGGAACATTTTTTTCCTTTTATTCTATTGTTTCATTTTGTTGTGGGTGTGTGCGCGTGTGTGCTGTCGCCTAGTCGACATCAGCGTTTTGTTTTCCTCTAAGAGGATTGTTGCTCATTTGTGAGCTTTCATTAATGGGATGTTTTAAGGAAGTGGCGGAGGTATTTATGGGTTCCTAGTTGGTTGCATCTTTATAACTCCTGTATAACTCAGATGGCTTTGAAGATTTTGAATTGTACTAATTTAGGTTGTTTACCATGCAGTAGTGCTTCAAGACACTACCTTTTAGAGCAAAATGAAAAATAAAACTGGGTTTACATTTAATTTTGTATTTTTGCATTTTTCATTTGTATCTGTTTGAGTTCTGTCCAAATAAACAAAAGGCTTTTTGTCCAGAGAGCAAAATGAATTGCCAACGAGTTTAATTAGGAAAGGAATGTATAAATCCAAATAAGTACCCAATCTCTTATGGCAAATTTCCCTTCTCAAGGTGTTAAATTTGTTGTGAACTTTTTGAACTGATTAAAGTTGAGAATTTTATAACTTTGCCTTTGCTCAGATTTCATCATTCCACAACAGAGACCCATTTTACAGGAATTTATGTTTTTTTATTAACTAAAAAAGTTAAAATTGCCCCTCCACTAAATTTGTTTTGTTTGTTACTTCACTGTGATGTAACACAAAAAAATATTTTGTATAGAAGTATGTTTTAAGGATCTTGAGCCAAGACAACAGAAACACAATTTAATGTATAGTTTGAACTAGTTCTTCACTGTTCTTTCTGTGAAAGCCAAACCCTGCAGTCTGAGCAGTTTGGACCAGATGAATTGATAACATGTTGGCTGGTGTTGCTGAAAATGTGGGTTTCTGGTCCTGAGAAATGGAAATATAATGTTACAGTTTATATTTGTGGCATTTATCCACATTGACAGAGTGAACAGGAGGAAACGTTTACTGTACTTCTGTATTGTTTGGGATGTAGCTTCCTCTGACGGACCGTAAAATTATTATTACATTTCATTGGAGGTTTTGTGTGTAGTAACTGCACTGAATTCTTTTTTTTTTTACCATACTGTCATTAAAATTCAGACTTTACCCATCTTCTGTACAGCCCTATTCTGTTTAAAATCCTTAGTGTATGCATGCTTAAAACAATAGAATATGCTGGTCCGTAATAGCTAAATTTAGCAGTGCCTCATCCCAAGCATAAAAAATAGCTTCAACAGTGTAAACTGGTCATCAGAGGTTTCTCTCATGTAGTATCATCTCTACTGGTATTGACTTGGAAATGTCTCAAACCCACTTCTCCTTCAATCCCTTCCACACAAACACATTGACATAAATCCTAAAAGGAAAGGTAGATGATGATGATGGCGGCTATCATCTGTCACACTGGCCTATGGCCATTTCCGCTAAGACATATTTGGCCAAGGTTGGGGCCGTGTAAGCGGACCCTGCCACTAATCCCTGTTAACATACTGGTATGACATTAAAGGTTGTGATGACGCCCTGCCGCTGAAAGTTGAAACACTCGCCTGATGCAATCCCAGCAGCCAGCAGTCAGCTGTGACGCAACCCGAGAGGAAGCTGTTGGAACTAAGTGCTGGCTATGACAGTCAGGTGTGTCAGCTGTGGGACTTGACAGTGTTTTTATGTTAAACCTGGACAGTGGCCATGTGTTATGGCTGCAGATCCTTATTTCTAACACGTCTGTGCAGGAAGGCTTTTGCTGATATTCATACAGTTTTATTTTTACAGGGGTTTGGAGCCTTTTCATGGAGTCAGCATCTCTTTCCTCTGGAGTATTACTAGTTTATGTTTTTGCTTTGATGCTTTAATATCTGATCATCTCTGGGACCAAAATTCAGTCCGGCTGTAATTGAACCCCCCTCCCTGACCCAGATATCCTCAGTCATCCTGGGCATCCGCTGTCGAGGAGAAGAGGCAACAGCTGGGGTAACCCCCGCCCACCCAACCAAAAAATGAAAAGCCAGCTCTACGCCCTCTTACACCCTGCTCTGTGTCTACGCTGTGGGCAGGCAGGGTTATTAATACCCCAATGAGAAAGTTAAACAGGAAGAGCCAGGTTAGCGCCCACACCAGTCAGTGCCTCTCAAACAGAGATGATGGTTGGCCTTGCACCCAGCGCCACATACCGGCCCTTCCTTTACCCAGGACCTTCACACTGTTTCTACAATATCAACAGGCCTCTTTTAGCCTTTTGCCCCCCACCCCCCTCTAATGACTGAAAACTGTGAAAGGAGTACAATCAGTATAATAAAATCATTTGTTGATATCACCCGGCAGTAAGCTGGAGCAGAGGCGACAGGTTGTGATCAAACTGGGGCAAAGTTGATTGTTGAGAGGCCAGTTTACTCCCACAAGGAGATATACTGCCACCCAGTGGACAGTAAACAGAAAAACCTCAGAGCAGCTCAGTGTCATTCATGTTTTATTGGTCCCAGTGTTGTACAGTATGGTCACATTCCAGGACAGAGGAATGGCTATAACTACATGTCTACCAGAACTGGGCTTCACCACAGAAGACAATTAATGCTAATACAGAGTTAATTTAATGTTCTGTGACTGAAGCAGTAAACTTCCCTACCTGGTCTTTAGCAGAATTTCTTTCTCTCGTAAACTATTTTCTTAGTCCTGTAAGTGTGGACTTCACTGGATCCACGTAATTCAGATCATCGGGTAAGGTGACGGTCGGAAAAGAATAAACTAGCGCTTCTTATGTTGTCCTTTGTAGGAATCCCCCACTTCTCCAAAAATAAATTCTGAAGACACGCTGAGAGGATCCAGATCCAGAGTTCTCCTCCCTTGTTTTTCAAGGACTGAGCACAGCTGCACAAATAAATAGCTATCTGAGCGACATAGGATGCAGTTGATGGTGATTCATACATAGTCACCTGAGTTAAGCAAAGAGGGTAGGAACAGGACTGACAAGGGGGTGAGCTTGAGTCCATAGCTGGGTTATAAGTGGTGGCCGTGCTAGAGGGGCTGCCAGTAAGAAGGTGTTTTGTTGTACTGAGCCCTCACAGAAGGATCTCGCCTCTTCCTCTTTGTTCTCTTGACTCTACGTGAGCTCTTCGTCAGTTTTCACGCTCGTCTCTTAAGCAGCTCAGCGGCCTCTTTCCCATCAAGTCCTTTATGTTGTTCGGATTTGAGCATAGCGTATTTTTGATCTACAGAGCCAGAGAAAGAAGAACAAGGTCAGTTATCGAATGGGACATGAAGAGGGGTGTGTGAGTGTGTGAGTGTGTGAGTGCCCACAAAGAGCACCTGGGTATCTTCTCTGAAGTCTGTCTGGCTTGAGAGGCTCCTTTAAATTGGGCTTCCAGTCTGGAGTAGATTCCCCCTGTAGGCTGATCAGCAAAAACAAACACACACACACAGATTATCCAGTATAAAAACAATCCAGCAGCTGCAAAAACTAGACCAGGAGAGCTGACAGCTCAACCCCAATCGTAACAACATGATGTTAAATAAGTAAATCATACATTCCCTGCATCCTGACACTAAATACCATTCTGAATGTACATGAACAGATACTTGCCTCTTTAATATCCTTAGATTTGCTCTGTTCCTGGTCTCCAAACCTCATCTTAGTCAGGTGGCTGATGATCTCTACCATGCGACGCTGGTCTGGTTCATAAAGACAAAAATTATAACAAAGACTAAAAACACAGAACTTGATGTAAAACTAAGGATAGTAACTGTAAGAATTAAAGAGTAAAATCAGAGCGACTATAAGAATGGGAACTGAATGGGTGGTTTATACTTGATATGACTAAAAATAGTATTAATAACATTCAGTTCCAGTAGAGTCCTCCTTTACCTTCTTCCCTCTGAGCGTCCTGGTTGTATCGCATGGAGCGAGAACTGTCCCACTTGCTTTTCTGGACACTCACGCTACAAAACACACACCACAGGCACCAGTGTCAAATTTAAAAAAAAGACACATATGTATTATAATGAGGCAAAGTACCTTCTTCAGAATCCTGAAAAGGGCAGTTGGCCCAAACCCTGGCCTTTATCGGTTGCAATACGTTAGTGTGAAGCTTTCCCATCCCTTTTTTGGTCAAACAGCATGCACGAGTACTGAGACTCATTCGCTGTTTTATCCCTTACAATGTCAAATAAATATTAACTGCACTGGATACATTTAAAAAGTGGCAGGTAAGATTCCAGATATTTGAAAACGTTTTATTCAAATAAAAGCCGAGCATAACCACACTTCCACCCTCACCTGACACTGCAGATGTAAGCATGGGTATGAGAGTATTTTAAATGATCTTGTGTTTGCAGATTAACTCACGTGAAAGGTGTGTTGTCCCTGGACTGATGGAGAGAAAAACAGATTTAGGTTAGAAAACACAAAAATGCAGGTATAAAGTTAAAGTTTGCTACTCAAGTGTGAATATGCAGTAACTAACAAACATTATTATAGCTCCAGATAAAAAATAAAAAAAACATAAACATGCTGCATAAAAAACAAACAGGCTAAAATGTTTCTGGTTGAATCTACAATAACTAATGACAGTTCAGAAACCATAAATAAGCAGTGTACATGATATGTTTAGGGACATGATGTTTGACTATGTCTCTTTAAATAGAGGTTTTGGAGCAGTAATACATCATTTAGAGTCAACTGTAAGCACCAATTCATGGAAGCTGATTTATTTTTGCTTGTTAAAACAAAATGTGAACACCGTGAGTGTATAGCCTTCTATCTCAATAAATCATTTAATGCCCAAGCTGCAAATAATACACACTGTTACAGTAAAACACAAGGTTACAAGGTTTTAGAAATTCAAGTTGCATTCTGCAAGATTTTACACCAGTGAGGGCTTTGAATGTGTATTTATTTATTTAAAAGGGGGCAGAGCACGTTAATGAACACTTCAGCCTTTGCATCCATGTACATAAATATTCCAGAGTTAGCCAGAAGGCTAGTTTTCCTCTTTAGTAATGAAGCCAGTGACTCACTTTCTCTGGTTTGTCTTTGCGTTGGAAGTTTGGAGAGGACACTTGTTTTTTCAGAGGTCTGTGGGTCTTCTTGGCCTTCTTAGCAGCTGGAAACAGAAAAAGAAAGAAGCAGAATGAGCATGTTGATGGCATCCGCCGCCACCTGCTGGCCAAAGGGAGCAACTGCTTTTTTTTCTCCATCCCTAAAAAAGGGCTGAAGGGTAACAACAACGCAATGTTAAATATAAACGGGATGAAAATGTAAAGTGAGGGTGGAACAGTAGGGATGTGCTATGAATAGAGGAATGTTTCATTATGTGTCCTCATTTTACTTTTATCATTTAATTTAAGCACCGTGGCGGTGCTTAAATTAAATAGCGTGGCGGTCAACGGAACGAAAATTCAATGAAACATTTAATGAAAATAAACATGACATTTATAATGAGGTCAGGGGTGATTCGTCACAGCAAATGATAACCTCGAGGCATCATATGTTACATGATAAAAATACAAAAAATAATAACAAATACAATGAAAAAGAAACACCCCATACATATAACTGTTTTGATATTCAGGAATAACTTAATTAATATTCTGGAATCCTTATCACCCGATCACTGCAGTAATAACTGCTTTCAATCGCTGTTCACTGCTCGAAAAGTTTCTCTGATTACACAGGATTTATCATGAGAACTGCAATTAAACTGTCAAAAACCCTGTTACAATAGTAATGACGAGAACAGTTATGATCCTGCAATTAAACATCGCAATAGCTTGTTAATTACGTGAATAGATCGACTTATTATTATTTCTTTCAGACATGCAGCGCACCTCTCTTTCAACAGCTTGAGTAGAAAACGCAAAGCACCACCGCCGTCATAGTTGAATCTGTTCACAACATTTTATCGACTTAACTGTTAAACTACTAATGAAGAGAACTGTTGGGGTTTTTTTTCTGTAAAAAGCTCGACTATATGTTGAATAATATTCTTTTTGTTGCTTTGCCTGTTTTTCATGTGCCCAGTGTCTTCCTTTGCCGTGTCCAGCCACAGCCGTTTAGTAAAGTTTGATGCTTCTGACCGGTTCTCGTGTTTAAATTCGCAGCGCCACCTGTCTGCCAGTGAAACTGCCTCTCAAGCTGTCTTTCGGAAATGCTTGAAAACGTTCTTTTAAAATTTCAAAAAGGTCATTAAATGCAATAAGTTATATTACATTGAAAAAGTAATTGAAATTGTTACACCGCTATTCTATTTTAAATAGGGTAACTTGTAATCAGTAACCTATTACATTCCAAAGTAACCTTATAACACTGCTGCTATTAGAGCTGACTAGTTCATTACTCAGAACAGAAAGTTAAATTATTTTAGTTATTTTGATAATACATTTTTCAGTTTAATACGCTACATGAGACCTGTCACAAAAAGCTACAAAGCTTCTCCACCTTGTTTCTTGGACAGCTCCTCTTCATCTCCCACCTCATCTTCAGTGACCTCTGACCCCGTGGTGTACTCCTCATCCTCTGACAGGAGAGACTGCTGCCTCTGGAAGGGCAAAGGTCACAAGTTTTAGACAATTACAACTCAGCTTTTTGATGACACTGACTTTAGATGCTGGCACCTGCAATCTTTAAATTCGACTGATTTAACAACATATCTCAGTAAAAGCACCATTTACGCTTTCCTTTGTACCTGGATGTGTTTGTAATTCGGGAGACAGCTGGCTAACATAGTGATCAATGCCAGAATATTAGAAGATGTGATGAAGTGCATAAGAGAAAAGTCCTACCAGTTGCAGACTCCAGTTTTTCAACAGGGAAAACTGGTAAAAAAGAAGAAATGGTTTAAGTCAGAACCATAAATATGACACAGGTGAAGAGACACATTGACACAAAGAAGAAAAGTACCAACAAGAGAAAATTAGAGAGAGAGAGAGACTTACAGTGCTGCCGTCTCCTCTCGGAGGCCCCAGCAGTGTTGGCTCCAAGAGAACGTCACCGTCCTGAACCTTTACTGCACTGGATGGACTCTCCTCAGCACTAACACACATACCAAACAAACAAACAGAATTTCATTGGACGTTGTTGGACGTTGTTTCATAACAAGTGCCCCTGTAAAATGTTGGCATATGGACATTTTTATACTTATTTGATTCTGCAATACAGTCACATTTCATCTGAAATCTAATTTTCTGAAGAGTCCAGGATATTCAAGCAGATCACACTTCATCATGGGTGTACAGTTTTCAAGGGTAAAAAAAACGTCTCCTCCATCTATCCTCCATATAAACATGCCCTATGACCGCTGACATGGACCAGGACTTGTCAGCTGTTTGGTCTTTGTTTGGTGTAGCCCACCAATGCAAAGTCCACGTACCACCAGCCTGTGTGCATGTCCAAAACTGCCGAAAACTAGAACAATAAGCTGGCATTATGACTCTTCTAGAAACAGGTCAAAGAAATGGTCACATGATACATTTTGACCTTCTTTTCTGTAAAGTAGACGGTGATAATGTCAGGTGTACTAGCAATTCCACAGACGGTTTCTGGAGGAGAGTTAAACCGCTCAGATCTGTCAGCAGTGTGCTTATAGATGTGCTTATTCTCTGTATGCGGGATCTGCACAGCTACAACTCTGTCATGTCTGGCAACATACAGCCCTTTAAGAGAGCTAGAGCTGTTCATGACTCCAGATGCTGAGGGGTCTTGCAGCATACAGAGGGGTGAATGGATGGTCCTGGTTGGGAGAACCTGTGATTGAGCTCTCACATAGGAAGGTAAGTATCTCCTCACTGATGATGGCATTGCTGTAGATGGTGTGAGATCAGCACAGGGCAGCTTTTTCCACGTCCCCTCAAGGCTTAGACTGGTCCAGTACTGACAGTACTGACTGAGCTCTCTGCATCTCCAGTAAACATTGTCTTGAAGTTCAGGGCTGGAGCAGGTGAGATTTTTGTCTGGTGCTGTGTTGGATGGATCCTTCACCACTACATCA